AAAAAAAAAAAAAAAAGAGGTATAAGTATTATAATCGATACTCATATACTTAGGTACAAACATGTAAGTATTTATACATAAATAAGATGTTAAGTAGCCTTGTTTAAAAAATAAAAAATTGGAAATAGTTGCACATAGGAGAATAATGTTACGTCCACATAACAAAATATTCTTCAGCCATTAAATAAGATAAACTCGATCTTTATGTACAACATCAAAAAACGATATATAATATGCATGATGTCAATGGATGTGTGTAGGGCATTGGTTCTCAACCAGGACAATTTTGCCTGCAGTGTCTGGAGACATTTTTGGTTGTCAAACCTGTGGGAATACTACTGGCTCATGCTGGGCAGAGGCCAGAATGTTCCTTAACACCCTGGGACAGCCCTCCACACATAGAATTATCCGCCTCTGAATGTCATTAATGCCCAGTTGGGAAACCCTGATGTAGAGGAAGTTTAGAGGGATACAGCTGATTAAAAAACAAAACAGGAAGTTGAAAGTGATGAATGAGGAGTAGATTTTGGGGGGAGGAGTGGAGAGTGCCTTTACCGAGACAGGAGTCGGTTGTATCTGCTACTTGGCAGGAAAGCAGAGATTGGTGACACTCATTCTAAGCAACTCTAAAATGTGCTGTAAGTGTAGCAGAACCCAACTATCCCCCACGTTCACTCAGTATTTTATCTTCTCTTTCAGAGTAAGCGTGCAAGTCTCCGTGACGCAGCCCTTTTAGACATCATTTGTGAGTGTCGGTGATTTGTATTTACACTTACCCCATCCCCTTTTGTCAGAGAGGCAGTTCTGGATGTCAGTCAGGTGGACCTGTTTTCAGTCCCTCCTCTGTCACTTACCAGTCTCCAGTCCTTCACCCGGTCACATGGCTTTGCTAGGCCTAGACTCCTCCCAAGAAAAATGGAGAAACAATAGTACCTACTCCACAGGGTCGTTGGGAGAGTTAAATAAGATAATGCTTGAAAAGCTCTTTTAGCACGGTCACTGGCACACACTAAGCACGTTTGTTAGGCTCTGTGTCTTTAACAGAAATTGAAAATAAATTTCCGAGAATTTGTTCCTATTACGGTGTAATTTGTTACCTCTCCTCCCCTTCCATTTCTTTCTTCCCCTCCCCCCCCTTGTACCCTAGGTTTCTTCTCTGTATTTTCTTCTTTAAGATGTGTACTTCCCTCATCAGGAGGCAACAGACTGTGGAGTCTAAGAACACAGGCTCCAGGGCCAGATTTCTCGGGTTCGGTTCATGGCTTTGTCATTGTCTCCCTGTGAGTCCTGGCGGAGGCCCTTGACATCCCTGCCTCGGTATTATCATTGGACAAACCTTTATAATAATGATGATGTCACATAAGGTGACAGTGAGGATGAAATGAGTCCATGTCATGTTCTTAAAACAAAGTCTAGTATGGGGCACCTGGGTGGCTCAGTCGGCTGAGTGTCTGACTTCGGCTCAGGCCGTGATCTCGCAGTTCGTGAACTCGAGCCCCACATCAGGCTCTGTGCCGACAGCTCAGATTCTGTGTCTCCCTCTCTCTCTGCCCCTCCTGTGCTCACACTCTGTCTCTCAAAAATAAATAGTAAACAAGGGGGTGCCTGAGTGGCTCAGTCGGTTAAGCTTCTGACTTGGGCTCAGCTCATGATCTTACAGTTGGGGCAGTAGGTTCGAGCCCCACATCGGGCTCTGTGCTGACAACTCAGAGTCAGGGGCTGCTGCAGATTCTGTGTCTCCCTCTCTGCTCCTGCCCCGCTCGTACTCTGTCTCTCTCTCTCTCAAAAATAAATAAACATTAAAAAAATAATAATAAAATAAAGAGTAAACGTTAAAAAACAAAAAAATTCTTAAAAAAAAAAACCTGGTATTTACTAATTAATCATTATCAGTTGATATTAACTGCCTCCTGTGACCTGGGGCATAACAACATTCATCTTTATATTCCTCTCCAACTACGAAATAGCTGAATTCATTTAGCGCATCTGCCTCTGGTTGAGTGTGTCTCACTTTCAGTGACTGGATGATGTCTAGACCGTAAAGGGTAGATCCACATAGTTCCCCTTTCTCACTCATTTGTTCACATGTTCTTTGACTACTACCACGCAGTGGGCTGTATGCTAGGCACTGCTGGGTCCAACAGGTTGATTCATATTCTCTTAAGAGGCCCCAGTCTCAGGGGGGAGACAGGTCACCGAGTCACACAAATGCATTCTCACAGACTGTCGCAAGTGCTGGGAAGGAGAAAAGGCAGAGGGTCTGTGAGACCAGAGGGGGGTCGGCCACACCAAGGGTTTAGGAAAGACTTCCTTGAAGACGTGAGCTGAGAGCCACAAAGGATGAGCGGCATTAACTAGGCAAAGGGGAAAGGGGACATAAAGGAGCAGGAGAGCAAAGGGCACAGCACCAGAAGGTCTTGGAGCAGGAGGGTAAGTAGGGGAGCAGAGAGAAGGCGGGAGATGGGAGTCCGGTGCTGCAGGAGGGGGTCAAAACAAATGAGGCATAGGTAGGGGGATAATTCAGAAGCCCCTCGAAGGATTTCACTCTTTATTCTAAGAATAAAGCCAAGCCCTCCAAAGATAATGAGCAAGAAAAGAATCAGTTTCTTGTTTTTTCAAAACTCTCAGTGCAGAGACAGGGACGAGGGAGGACGGGAGAGACCCAACAGCAGACTGTTGGAGCAGCCAAGCGAGACAGGGATATAGCCTGAGTGAGATGGGGGGGTGGGGGGATGGAGAGAAGAGAGCGGGGACAGGAAATGCAAGGGTTAAAGTGGACTGGACTTGGCTGGTAGCTCAGTCCTAGCAGAGTGAGCTCCCGGGTAGCTTTAAGAGCTACGGAGGAAAGTAGCACAGGGCACAGGGCGCAGTGGGCGGGTGCTTTGGGCAGGGGATCTGGGCAGGCTGCTGTGCATAGGTGGCCTCCCAGTAGACACCAGAATGAGGGGCACCTCGAGCTCGGAGAAGAGGGCTCCCGACAAAGGGAACAGCCAGTGCGAACACCAGTCGTGAGGAGCACAGCATCCCTGTTCTGCTGGCTGAGTGAGGGGTTCCATGGAGGAGACCCGTGTGGGACTAGAAGAAATCGTCTAAGTAAGAGTAGATGCGAAACCTCTACTATATTGAGTATTTCTTTATGATTTGTTTTAGTTGTCCGGGGGAAATTTAATTCACGTAAAATTTATATTTGAATAAAAATGTGTATGACCTAGTCGATAAGTTACTGTTATTTTCTCTGGCATCATATTACATTAAATACATATTTAAAATAGGTATGTATAAGCACGTTACTTGAGAGTTCTGTGATGTGACAGTAATAAGCTCTTCCCCCCTCTCTCAGATACTCAATTTCATCAGCACCAGAAAGTTTGGGATGTTTTTCAAATGAGTAAAGAACCAGGTAATGTTTTCCATTTTTTTTTATTTAATTTTATTTTATTTTTAGTAATCTCTACACCCAACGCGGGACTTGAACTCACAACCCCCAAGATCAAGAGTCACATGCTTTTCCAACTAGGCCAGCCAGGCACCCCGGTGTTTTCCATTTTAAACTGAAATTTATATTTTATATTTTGGCATTTTTAAAAGGAATACTAATATGTTCCTCTGAAATGTCTCTTCTTTTGGGGGCACCTGGGTGGCTCAGTTGGTTAAGTGTCTGACTCTTGGTTTCAGCTCAGGTCATGATTTCATGGTTCGTGGGATTGAGCCCCAAGTCAGGCTCTGTGCTGACAGTGCGGGGTCTACTTAGGGCTCTCTCTCTCTCCATCTCTGCTACTGCCCTGCGGGCGCGCGCTCTCTCTCTCTTTCTCTTGCTCTATCTCTCACATAAATAAATAAACAAAAAAAAAATTTTTTTTAATGTCTCTTCTTTCACAATGAGTAATTTCAAAATTACTCTTTTGTGGGAAAAATGAGAAGTATATTCAGTGACACTGTATCCAAGGTACCGGCAGCATTGGTATGATTAGATCAGTGTCCCTCTTTGACGTTACACAAAATACTTAGCTTCAGAGTCCTTGCACATGTATTTCTTGAACATTTGTCTTTATTGATTTGTCTTTACTTTCTTTTGACCTTGACAGGTGAAGACGTTGACCTTTTTGATATGGAACGATTCAAAAGTTCATTTGAGAAAATTCTTCGGAGAGCATTAAAAAATGTAAGAATAAAATTTATCTGAATCTCCACGAAATTCAATTTCAAGGCATCTGTGCAGTTAAAATTTGCTACTACCTTGGTTTGTGTTTGTTTTTTGTTTTTGTAAGAATTTTAATTAATTTTAATTAGTAATATCCCATACTATTCTAGGCCAGATCAGAGATAAATCCTACTTCATTATAGAAACTTTTCCTACCCCTTACCTGTCAATTTGAGGCCAATTGCTTCTTTCTCAAGAGGAGCATCACGCACCAGAACTATCTGGAGTGATGGAAATGTTCTGTGTCCACGCCACTGGTACACGGGCTAGTAACCACATGTGGCTATGGAGCAGTTGCAATGTGGCCAGCATGACTGAGAAACTACTACATTAATCTCATGTAACTGTAGAGAATTTCAGGCCAGTGGCTACAGTATCGGTTGGTGTCACTCTGGAGCACCCGTAGAATCTTCAGCTCCCCTCCACTGTCCACAGGTACCACCGAGTATCTTCTCGTAGGTTGAGGCAGTCATGTTATTAACAGCCTCCCTTACTTCATCCTCTTCCCACCTCAATCTGCCTCAGTCCTGCTTGCATGGAAAGACAGGACCTATCACTGTCCCCGTGCTCTGGCTGCCCGCTCCAGAAGAGTGGTGTTCCCTCTTCATATGCAGACTCCACGACGTGGTCTTTATGTCTCTTCAGCTCACGCTTTGTGACGTCTGCCATACTTGTATGCACACCCTCGTCACTGAGCATCTTCCCTCATTTCTTTTCTTACGGAGACCCTTCTGTGTGACGTTTGACTCTCCCCCTGCCCCCGCATCCTCAGAGGGCCCACCTGCCTTGTTCTCTGTTCTCTATCCCATTTGTAATCGCTTCTCTACCACTTCCCACTCTACTGCTTATAAGCATGCTCCGGTCTTGGTGGAACGACATCCATTCTCCATGCTCGTCCTCAAGCTCTGTTCTTTCTACCACAACACTCTTGGGAGGAAATATTTATTTCTTGCCCCCGATGTGTCCTTCACAGGGAGGGGGTCCCATAGGCCCAATGGCACCGGCGTCCCTCCACCATCCCCTTCACCTTTCTCTGGAAGGAGCACCAACTTAACCTGAGTGAGAGCAGGTGCCCACAGGGACACACGTTCTGATCTGTTCGTCCAGGGCCAGCTCTGCCCCTACCAGTGGAGGCTTCCCAGAGTGGTTATGCCACCACTTATGTGGTTAGGTCTGCCTGAATGGATTTTGTTATCTGGAGGGCCGCCTGCCTGTGGATATGAGCCAGTCCCCATTTCTTGGTAAATATGTGTTGGCCTCACCTGCCAACTCTTTTGCCTTATTCTCAGTTGATCCAGAAGGACAGGGAAGAAGGGTGGTATTTAGTGGCCCCCTTCAAAAACCTCCCCCAAAAGACCATTTGAAAGGGTAATGCAGGGGCACCTGGGTGG